ATCTTGACCGCAAAGAATTCTCGTAAATATCAACAACTGAACTTATATAAACTTAAGTTTCCTGAAGCACTAGGAACCACATGAACGCGTGAGCTGTCCTGATCTAGACGCATTGGACTCCAGAGAGGTGCTGGTGGTGATGGTGATGGCAGTAGTGACGGTAGTGATGGCAGTGGTGGTGTTGATGCTGGGGGCGGTGGCGGTGATGAAGGTGGTGGATGGTGGCGCTGGGCGGGGTGGGCTACTGCGCCTGCAGCGAAATCTATCTACACTTCAAGGGCTGCGCCTGCCAAGTCTGCGCATCAAGGTTCACAAAGCACCGCGCCTGCCGCAGAATCTGCACTTCAAGTCCACGAAATCTGCACGTCCAGATTCGCATCGCGCAGCCCTGCCAAGGCCATTCGCAGCAAGAGCAGTTCCAAAGACAACATCAAGATGCCAAAACGCAGCTTTCGCTGAAGGCTTCCTCCGATTTCTGAAAGCGAGCCATGTCCAAGAGTCAGGGTTCACTGCACCTCAAGGTCCACAAGGCGTTGCGCCTGCCACGAAAATCGCGCTTCAAAGTCCACAAAGCGCTGGGCCTGCCACAAAATCAGAGCACGTCAAGAAAAGTCAACTTCGGACCATCAAGGTTTCCCGCGCGCCTGCCAGGAAAAGTCATCACCAAGTCCAAAAATGCGGGCGGCGCCGCAACGAGAGCGCAGTCTCGAAGAGGTGCCCGCGCCAGCCCACCAGATTCTGCGAGCCTGCGCAGTCGAAATGCGCTTCGAAGATCTCGAGGTGAATGAATGCACTGCGCATAGCAGCGAATCAGCCGGACGCACCGACGAGTGCCTCTATCAGACGCCCGCCCTTGCCCTAACTCTTACCGTAAGAACCCCTAGTCTTACCACACTGCTTGGGGTGTAAAGAAAGGGGAGAAGAACAAATAGTAACCATGAACAATAACTGAAAGGTACATGGTGGAGACGCCTTTTACCATGATTGAGTAATCAATGATCATCAGCTTAACAGAATTGACCCAGTTGACAACCCCAATAGTAAAGCGTCCAAAGCGTTTGATGACAACAAATTTAACACCGAACCAGACAGAAAGTTCACTTGAGTTGAGGACGAGCGCAGAAGTTACACACAAGAGCCCTTCTGCGAATAGCCTGTCTAGAATCGGACACCTTGCATTCCAAAACACATTGGAGTTTAGACAAGAGCGTTGCAGTTTGCAAAAAGGAACCTAGCTCACCACTTTTAGACAGGAAGGTGTGTACACAGAAACATCTATCAAGAAACATATTTCAATTTTTTAGAGTTCGGGTCCTGTGATTTTATAGAGGTTTTGGGTTTGAAGCGGTTGTGCGTTTGATGCTAGAAAGAGTTTGTGGTTTGTTGCTTTGCCATTTCATTCATTTGCGGATTCTATATTATACACATGCATGTTGTTGGCGCGCTTGATTCTGCGCAGTTTTTCCCGTTTGAACCTCATTTGCCAGACTTAGGCTTCTAAAATGGCCTGCGCTGACACCCCCTGAATTTGAAGGAGGATCATCAAAGGCAAACACAATGCAATTGTCAGAGAGACAATACTTTAACCCCGGGTAGCAGGGAAGATACACGTTTGGGCACGCAAGCGCATAGTTCATACAAAGCGATTATTCACCAGCGAAGAGAATGCATTTCAAAAAGTAAACAGGAAATATATATATCTACGCAGTGGGATGTATGAATATGTGCCAGCGCATGACCTATACACGAAAAATACCAGAAACGCAGTGTCAAGCAAGCAAAAACCCCCCAACACCAAACTATGTTGACGCGCAATCACAAAATTTAGACACAAAGTTGCGCAAAAAGGTTCCATATCCAAGCATAATGTATGTTCCATTGAGCACCATCTTTGCCGATGGCCAAAGTTTATGTTCAAGTATGCGCGCACCATTTTTGTTTCCGACAACCATACTCGCCAAATGATGCTGTATCAAGCGCCAGCGCAAAACATAGCACGATAGGTGTTTGAGGGGGCGCGCAATCTTTACTCAGACAAAGAATGAGATGTTTCAAAGGATCAATGCAATCATACGACACCAAGTACCACTACCAAAGGAAAAGACGATGAACTTTCATCACGGAGGCGTTGTTTACATGCGACAGGTGCAATGAGTGCGGTTCTCAAAGGGAGTAGATGAGTAGAACTCAAGCACTGCGCGAGAAACGACGCGCGCTGGACACGAAAGCGCGGTTTATCCGAACGCTAATGTTTTCAAAAGGCGGCGAAAGGAAATATCGACAGAAGCAGAACATGCATTTGCTCGCCAGCTCAGATAGTATACCAACAATACAAGAAGCTCTTCGCAAGCGAATCCATTTTGCGACACATCGCCGCATAGTTTTGCACTCACGCGCAATCATATTTAAATGCCAGAACCCAATGCGCGCCCGGTCTATGGACACGCAAGCGCACAGTTCATACGTGACAAAAGACCCAGCCCGAGACAACTACAACATAAGCGAGACGCCGCCAAAACATCAACGAACCACCGCCAAAACATAACCAACACACCACCCAAACATGAGCAAAACACCTCCCAAACATGGCCGAGACACCGCCCAAACATGATGGACATACCACCTAAACATGACCGAGCTACCGGGACACCGCTTCCCAGCCCAGGGCCGTGGATCCGACGGCGCCCACTCGCCTAAAGAGTGTACAACCCTAAGCTATCGCGTGGAATTATTTATGTCTCTAACTCTGTTTGATCTTTCGCTTCTTATTTACTTGTACGCCGTGAGGGATAGCCAGCAGTACAATGCCTCAATATAGGTTAGGAAGCTGCAGATTCCACTGACTCCACAGCTCAATGTAAAAGGATGGGAAAGGTTGAGTCTACGCGTGGGCCTCTAATCTAAGCCTTGGAATTGGTTTTCCAGGGATCTGAGGAGGTTGCCAAAAAAGACAATCAAAAAAACGATGTGATATACACGTTTTAAAAACATACGACGCTACGATGCTTTCCTCACCTGCCAGGTGAGGGTTGTTAGATTTTATCAGAGCTTTTCTCTTCCTCCTGGACCTCCTGGACCTCCTGGACCTCCTGCCCCTCGCCGCCTCAACAGCAAGCGCTAGATCGGAGTGGGCGCTACCGGACCTCAAACGCAAACGCCAAACACAACCACAAAAGTTGTAGTTTTGGCATGGCCTGTTCAACCACAGAACTGATGATTGATGATGGTCCATGTGGGCCCATCTTTCACCATGGGATTCAATCAGAATCCTTTTGGATGAGGTGAACGCCCAAACACCGTGAAGGAGACTGCAAAGCAAGTTCTGGAGCAGGAGTGCTTGTGTGAACAGCACGCAATACAAAACCGCTCTACTTCTGTGACCTTTGACCTTTGCCACAATCTCCATGGACTCCGACAATTTAGGTTCTGGCGTTTTAGAAAGTAGAAGGCCAGTGACCGCACTTGATGGAGAGGCTGGACTGAAGTCATACTTTGCTTCCCGCCCTGCCCACCAAAGATTCAACAACGATGGAAAGCGTCCAAAAACCTCGTAACACTCTCAATAACAATAGCAAAAACAACCGTAAAAAAACAAAAGTAATATGCATGTTTAGTTTTAAAAACTATCTTCTTAGCATTATAAACAAATGTTTCTGAACTTATAGATTATGAATATATATGTTTAAAAATGATTTTTTACATTCACATAAGAGGTTTTTTAAATATATAGCGCTGCAATGCTTTATAAATATGTTAAAACCAATATTCAAATTTTTGGTTTTGGGAGCCTCACAATAGATATAACATTATATTGATATTTAAGCTTTCCTCTTGAACCTATAAATTTGAAACTGTGCAGGCCTTGCTCTGCTCCCTCTGGGGGACCCTTCCGGAGGCCGGAATTTAATACCGAAATGGAATTGACAGCCGTATATACGCACGATTTGCCAACGCATTTCGTTCAAGTGAGGCCATCCCCTTCCAAACACCAGGCTGTAGAAAATGTCATTGATTTACCGAATTGTCGTGGTCCCTTAACAAGGCGGAACCTTCGCCAGGCGCGGGCAGGAGAGCGAGGGATGGCAGGTGGACGTGATAGAAAATGAAAGGCGTGTAAACAGAAAACAAAAAACTGTCCAAATATGTCCATATCGATAAAATTTTACTCTATAAGTATTCGATTTGTTGGGAAGAAATGGACACTGTGTTCCCATGTTTTTTGGCACCTTTACTGTCATGATTTGCCTGAGGGGTCGTTGACGAAAGTGAAAGACTGTTTACGGAAAAACATTAATCACAAGGAAAAAACAGTTTGTTTTCATACATTTTCTTCGCCATGCACCAAAACCCTTGTGAATCACGAACTCAACGCCCGTGGCACCCACATGTTTGCCTCCAGGCTGCCCGGCCTGGCTCGCCACGCCCATGGATTCCGCCGTGGTCAGCGCGTTGACAACGTCAGTCCTGTCCATCAGCCTCTCAAAGCGTTTTTGGAGTGAATTCTGCGAACTTTGCAATCGAACAATGAAGTGTCCTTCCCCTAAGCCCTCCAGTGTGAGAAACTCAAAAGGTGGTTCCAAGCTTATATAATTGTCATTAGGCCTGGGACAGATTAATTCTCCAGCCGTCAGTGTATATATATATATACATATAGGTGTTTTGTTTTCTTGGGTAGCCGATCATGGAGATAGGGGACAGTGGAAACATGTATAAAAGTAGTGGTGCAAGACCGATATGTTTGCAGTGTCAATTCAAAATTGGTCGGTTTGTAAATAAATATGTGTTGGCTTTTGAGCTGATTGCTTAAAAATAAATCAAATATATAACCTCGAGTGCCAAAAGAGGCTTCACCCCACGGAATTTCGATGTACAAAGGCCTTGCACGCGAAACAAGGCGTGCGTCCACTGTGCATCGGAAAAGATTGAGCCAATGGTCTTTGTTCAGCCGCATCATACAGCGATTTCTGAATCACATCTACGTATATCACGGTTTGGCTCAGGTGCTGATATCTACGTCTACCGTTCGCAGCAGACCAAGAGTTCTGAGGTTTTGTGCGCAAGACTGGTTCGATCCAGATGACGCCCTGAGTCCAACTTGGAGAGCATGATGCCAAAAAGAAATGTTAAAGGTCTGAAGAACAAGACACTCTGTATTTGTTGCCAAGAGGAAGGTCCCGGTGAACTTTGGTGGCGTACTGATCTTCGTGGATGGAGAGCGTTCACCGGAGGACAGCTTGCAGGAGGCCGCGTGTCGAAACCAAAAGAAAAGAGTCCTTGGGCCTTGGACATCCTTTGGGCATCTTTGTGCAAAAGATCACATCTTTTCCTTCTTTTTATTCACATTGTTTCACAAAAGTCAGAAGGAACGATGCGACGATACATTGTGGGAGTGGAACGCCCCAAATCACACCTTCCTTAAGCGAGCTTGAAGTCAGTCCGCGAGCTTTCTGAACTCTTTTCACGTTTTTGCAACATGTTTTTTGGTGTTGTTTTTTCTGAACTCGTCCAAGACTTCATTCACTTCATTTGCATTGGTTTTTCTCCGCAGACTCTCCTCCGAAGTTATCCAGCTTCGATCGTCACTGGGCTTTGATCGTCACGGCTTGGAGCGCCGACTGTTGTTTTGGGCATCTAACAGGGGATGGGCACAAACTGAAGTGCTAGTTAACAAGCCCGGACGTTGAAGAGCTCATTCTTCCAGGAAGCTCTAGCCTTGAAGAAGCGCTCGCACTGATTTGGTTCCAAGATTTTGGGGGATATTTAACTAGTAACAAGAAGCTACTAGGGGCTCCTGGCCATACTACTAGGAGCAAGGACGCTACTAGGTGCTCCTGGCCATACTACTAGTAACAAGAAGCTAGTGATAAGTTGTACCGCAAAGTCTCCCAGAAATACCCTTCGGCTCTGTAGTCTTCCGTCTCCTCACACGTCAGCTCGAGCGCTTACATCGAAGTCGAGACGAAAGTGCGATGTGTCGAGAGTCGAACAAAACGGTAAATCAAAGCCCATGCAGTAACAAGTGCATCGCTACTAGTAACAAGTGCCTTACTAGTAGTAACAAAAAGCTATTAGAAACAAGAAGCTAACTGTTTTCTTCGCATCACTTGATGTGAGGTGGTCGGCCCGATGGCCGCGGGTGGCCTCTCTGACTTCTTCCTTTGCCCGGCCGCGTGCGCCAGCGTTTCCGGCTTGCCGCAGGGCATTTTTTTTACGCGCCTTCAAGTCAGAACCATCCGGTTTGTTCTGAAAAGTGACAATCAGGTGCAAATGGAAGATTGGTTCATGTGTTAATCCTACAAACAAAAACGAATTGCGACTTAGTGCAAGATATGCAGATATGTTTCTGATTCTTTGACTGCGCCGACATGCACCAACTACACTCCAGGTCCACCTCTTTCTCTGCTCGATTGCTGGACAGCCCCATGCGTTTGGTACAGCCACGACCACTACAGGCTCATGCGGCATGCGCTCACATGCACTCATGGTGCAACAATTGTCCGGCGCACTGCAAGAGTCTGCAAGAGTGATTGAATTTGGACTTGGTTTCTTCGACAAAAGCAAAAGGCTTGGCCACTTGCCAGCAAAAACCTCGCAAGGTGCGTCCCGGCTTTGCAGCTTACTTGGTCTACCGTTGCTACCCGCACCGTAGCCGAGCAGCACAGGAGTGTCCATAGCAGTCCTTCCGGTGGATTTCCACACTGTTTTCTACTATGCTTGCTGGTCTAGGAGGAACAAGAACGCTACTAGTAGCAAAGGGCATCGCTACTAGTAGCTCCTGGCCGTACTACTAGGAACAAGAACGCTACTAGGATGAGACTTCTGTATAAGTTTTAGATTTCAGATGCATTTCTTTACCGTCAAAACAGCACACACCACATGAGTGGAACAGCTTGGACTTCGGTCTCCCAACATGTGCCTGAGAGACTGGGCCTATGTGGGAGGAATATGAAGCTTTGCTATTGAGTTCGGGTTGGTTCAAGATCCACTCACTGCTTTAGTTCGGAGTTGGTCCGCTAGCTGTTCGTTTAGACCTTTCCATCTCACCCTCACAATAGGGTGACAGCTGTCACAGATTGTCACAAGAAAGTTTCGTTTTCAAATCAATGACCTGAATAAACCTTTGCAGTTTTTGATAAAAGAAGCTGACTGACACCTGCTAGACAGCTACTTTGTGCTTGACTAGCAAATACAGCGAGGTGAAGGCTAAGTGCAAATAGAGGGCCTGAAGAACCTTCACTTATATAGTGCCGAGGTGAGCGCTTTTTCCACTTGTTGGACAGTGCCGCCAAAGAGCAGGGCCTGGGCTCGGTGGAGGCGGGGCAAACGGCACTTGGTAAACTGCACCTAGTAGCTTCTTAATTGTTTCTAATAGCTTCTTGTTCCTAGTAGTAAGGCACTTGTTACTAGAAGCGATGCACTTGTTCCTAGTAGCTTCTTGTTTTTCTGCCGCCCTGCCTAGACTTTTTAAAGACTTGGCGCCTACGACTTTTTTGCAAACTTTGGCACCTCGTTTCGCCTTGCTTCGCGCCTTGCTTCGCGCCTTGCTGTGCCCAGTTGTGGATTTTGCTTTTCTGTGTTTGGGTCGAGACAGCCAAGGCCAAGACAGGTGTTTTCTTCTGTCTCTCTTCAAAGAGTTCGTAGGCTAGTCTTTTGACTTTAGGCTTTATGCCAGGCACCTTCTTCTTTTCCTACTGCTCCTTCTCCTTGGAGAACAGTCTCAGATGATCAGCTTAGTCACAGATTTCAACAGTTCTTAAACAGATTGTGTCTCAGATTGAGTTCTCTTTTGCCTCCTTGCAACTTCACCGTCTATCTGTGTTGCTTTCCGACACTGACAGCACTGACCACCAGAGCCCTGTTCAGAGCCTCTCGCGCTGTGGCAATGCACCTCCTGACATTGAGCGCAGGCTGGCTCCATTAGATTGACGACATGTCAAAAGAGAAGCAAAAACTGCTGCAAATGCGTTGCGTTTGTGTGCTTGAAACCAGAGTGAAAACGACAAAAGGTCGAAGCGCTATTCAGCCAGCTACTATGACGTGGTGCCCTGAGAAGAAGGAGTTTGCAAGATTACATGTCTTTTTGTCGAATTCAAAATCAACGCTTTCGCCTCCAACCTAGTCTTTTTGCTTTCTTTCTGGCGTTGTTTGCCTCCTGCCTCCTTCGCCGAGGACGCCGTGGAGCTCTTTCGTAGCTTCCGCTTTGCGATGGTCTTCGAGAACCGGCTCTCGCCCAGGACGACTCAACACGGCTTGACTTGTCAAGCAGAGTTCCAAAGCACGAAAAGCTTCAAACAAGAGGTCGCTTGAAGAACTTAAAACCGTTTTGATGGCAGGCTGCTAGGTCCATCAGGGTCATGACCATGTTGCCTCTGTCAGGTATGTTACTGAGAAGATTGTGAATGCGTTCCTGAGTGGTGTGTGGCGTCCCGGGTATGCCCTGATGATCCACTTGTGTTGCACTTTAGAATCTAGAAACTGGTCGGTTATTAGTTCCGTGTTGGGCACGCTTATGATACCAGAAGTGTCCGAAGTCAAGATGAGAAATCTGGGTACGACATGACCACACCTGGATTTATATCTCGAAGTCACACAAAAAGTGAGCTCGATTCAGCATGAAGACCTGCTTTTTTTGTTGTTCGAGATTGTTCATGAAAAGGTTCTCAAAGCTGCACTACCGCGCTCGGCGAAACTCCCGACGAGGCAATACCGATCTACTGGGGTTCGCCCTTCGTTAGCAGCTCAGGGAAGAGGAGACCGAAGGGTACAGAGTCTAGAGTCTATGTATATATATAAAATACTATAAACTATTATATACATGTGTAATTATCTATGTTATGTGTAATTAGTATGTGTTTGAAGGATGGGAATGATGAAAAAGATGCTCCAATGTGGCGGGTGTTGCCAGCGGGACTAGGTACAGTGGTAGCGTAGGGTTTGCTTTCTGCTTTTCAGAGTGTTGGGAGAAGTCGGCAATGAGTTACAAAGTTCATATTGTATATATTGAATTTATTGTATATAAAAAAAGATGCTTGTGTATATATATATATATGATAACACTGCAGATTTGGAATCGCTGACTTCGAGGTGCTGAAGATCTTCAATCCAATGGCCTTCATTTACGTGAATTCCTTTCGATCTTTCGAGGCGAGTTGCGCCCTTTGCTCCGTTCGTAGCGATGCGAGCCCCGTTCGTAGCGAACATTGCTCCGTTCGTAAGGCCAAGTCGTTGGATGTGTTTGAAGCAATCTGCGCAATCTGCCCGAGTCGAAAATGCAACTCCCGAAGTCCCAAGGCCGCTGTGGAGCACATTCTCCGTGTGGCTTCAGATCCGGAGCTTTTTGCTCTCTATGCCACTGCCCCCGTTCTGAGGAGACCACGTTTTCTTCTTGGTGGCCACAGGGAGAGTAAAGACTGGAATATTATAGATTCATTGAGAGAAACCTTAAAGTGGGGAGTGCCTTCTTAACTTGTGAAACCCTGCAGTATTGTACTCCGGGGTTCAGATTCGCAAAGTTCGGGATTGGCCAAAACCGGTCATACATGTCCTACCATCGAATAGTCTTCAAAGTTTGGTTGCAATTGTGCAGACTCTGGACCGACTGTTTATGTCAAAAGGAAAACATGTCGATGTTTCGCTGGAAAAGCAAACCTAATACAGAAAGTATGGTGTCAATAGAGATTTTGCTGGGTGCAGCTGAATTGTCAGTTCCAAGTCAAAAATGTGAAGGGCTCTGAGGGTGTCGTGAGTAGCGCTCTAAACACGGCGATGATTGGCCTTAAAGGTGGTGGTGTCTTTGATTCAAGACGGCCTATGGTATGTTGAAGTCCCAAGACTCACGAACATTGTGGTGCTTTGGTGGTTGATTCGGTTGATGAACGGGGTCCTGCAGCTCAGCCTGTTCAACTATCAAAGTGCAAGAGTTCAAGCTTTTGAGTCGCAATCAGATTCTTGGCTCGAAGCGTTAAGCTTCAAGTAGAGCCGAGGGCAACCGAGTTTCACGCGTTACATTTCATGGGGCGCAGCCTGGGTGATTTCTGCAGCCAAAGAGCTGTTGCCGCTGGAGAATTGCTTCCATGGGATCCTTGGAGAATTGTTTCGTCCAGTTTCCTGAAACCAGAGCTGGTGAGCACCAAGATGTCTCTTTTGTGTCCTTTTGCAATCTTTTGCCATATTGGTTGTTAGATGTTGGTTTGAGAACCGCTGAGTGCGTAGACCGCATCCGTGAGGTGGCCGCCTGCGGATGCGCGAAGTTGCTGCGACCTCTCCTTCGGAGCTCGTGGACGCGAGGAATGTTGGGACTCCATTTTTACCTTCGAAGATTGTTGCCGCGACGTGGCAAAATTAAGTTGCAAAATGCTTTAAATGATGCTCGCACCAAATCTGCAAACGCTCTCTCGAGTCGACACTTCCTCGAGGTGAGGTCTCACACTTCGGCCTGCGCTACTGCTGTGGAACTGGAGGTGCCATGTGGCGACGGTTTCGGTTGAATTCCGGGTCCCGAAGTCGGTGAAGGAGTCTTGTATTGTCAACACAGACGTCACCATCGGTTTCACACGTGGGTTTCGCATCTCAGGTGATTGTTTGAACTTCTCCTTTTCTTGCTCACCGGGCCGCCGGTGCAAGATTCGACCCAACCTGCCACGGAAGCCGAAGCTGCGGACAACCTGTGGCCTGGAAGAGCTTTGGTGAGGGGAATCTAGGAATGGTGATGCCAGGAGCCCCTAGTAGCTTCTTGCTCCTAGTAGCGATGCCCTTTGCTACCAGTAGCGTTCTTGCTCCTAGTAGCGATGCCAGGAGCTACTAGTAGCTTCTTGCTCCTAGTTCTACAGATACAGGTAAGAACTCTTGGAAAGTCTAGACGCTGAGGTGACGATGGTTCGGTGTTGTTCCCTCCGTTGTACACTGCAGTGGAGACAAAGCTGGGGGATCTCCAAGATGGCCGTGACTTGAGCGTTCGAGGTGCGAAAGAGAATCCGTATTTCTGAGCGGCCCGCTCGCCTCCAATACAGAGACATGTAGAGACTCGTTTTTACTCAATTAAGGGGAAACTTGTTCGCCCCTAGGACGGATAGCTCACACTTCAAGGAATCGCTCGCACTAATGATTTGGTTCCTAGATTTTAGGGAAACTTAACAAAAACCGTTAAACAGTCTGACAGATTCAGCACCCATCGCTTCACTAAGTCCATTCGCTTGGGAGCAACCTTTGTTCCAAATATTGTGTGCTGTTTTTCGGATTCCCTGTTTTTGCCGACTCCAGCTTGTCAGGTACTATCTACATCAATGACGAGATGGCAAGACTCTTCATGAACCAAATTTCCTCCAATGAAGCTGCGGCACTTTTTCCCAAAAAGACTCTGGATCCTTGCTTAGGACGGGTTCGGTGCACGGGCGTAAGCTTCTAGAAGTGTGACTGGGTTGAGGGTGACCGGCTTGACCCTGTTTAGGAGTTTTTGAGGAGCAAGAAGATGCCTTTGGTACATGCAACCAGCCGCATGATCCGATCATGGACCATTTGCCTTTGTTCGTCCGTCCTCTCCGCTATTTGGACTGCTCCGCATGTCACTTGGATGGAAGGAACCAAAAGAAAAGGACGTTACTAGACCAGAGATCATAATCGAAAGGGATTTGTGACCAAGGTAATCTGCCAGGGTGCAAGGTCTATGCCACGGCATTCACTGCGAAGTTCGGGGGCCCCTGGGAGCACAGATTCAATATGTTTCGTGCGATTGTTCAAGCTGCACATTCTGCGTGCAGACTCCGCTATTCAAATCTATGTATAAGGATCTTAATAATATAATATGATCGAGCTTGCCGTGTTTGTTACAAGTTCGAATATTGTGGAGCTATATGAGGTGTGCGAACGAATGTGCGCAATCGGCTGATCCTGGCAGTTCCTGGTGCTTGTACTCATGGGGATGTACTCTTCAGGCTGAAACTGCAAGTTTCGAAAAGTGCTCTCATGTTGGGGAACGGGCTAGTGACATCACCTTTGGCAAGCCTAGCAAGGGGCAATGAAGTTGAACTGCGCAGAAGATCTTGACATTTAAAACAAAAATGATTAGAATTTGCAGTGTAGATCATAGACACTTTTCACCCTGACGCAGCCCTTTTGAGTATCAAGAAAAGGTTCGCATGGTAGCGGAGCAAGGATAAGGGAAACCTCCTTCGAGCTCCAGAGAAAAGCCCCTAGGTCACTGGGATCCTGGGAGCGTTTGAGCCATAGATTTGGGTGGGGCCTTTGGAACCCAAACTACTGACCTGCTGACAAACTGATGTGAACTGCACTCTGTACCCCGTACATTGTGTTAGTTGAGCAATATTATTCTGGGAAGATGGATGAAAGAAGAGAACTCCTGGAAGTGGTGGCAAGAAGTACCCAAGCAACAGCAACAGCAGAGGCAGTAAAGAAAGCGGCTGAAGACAAGAATACAACAACAACAACTGACTAGTCAAAGCTGATCACAAAGCCTGGCCTTGTTGAAAATAAGTCGCAGCAAGAAGAGATTAAAGCGTTCAGGGACTGGTCATGGGTATTTGAGAAGTATCCATGTTCAGTGGATGAGGCTTACGTGAAGGACTTGAAAGAGGTTCATGACAAGCCAAATGAGAGCTTCGACATGGACTTGGTTGATGAGGGGCAGGGCAATACAATTGATGAAAGCTGTGGAGGACTCCAGTGGATTTGATGCCTGGAGGAGTTTGAACAAAGCTTTGAAACCTACTTCAAAGGCGAGAGGAGTGGCGTTTTTGGGAGCATTTTCTATGAAAGCTGGAAGGGGTATTTGATGAGACGGTCAAATCACGGACAACAAGTCAGGACAAGCTGAAATCTGCAATTCTTTTGAGATGTGTGGGTGGACAGCTCAAATCCTGCTGTGTTTGAACTTGACCATTGGCGACAATGTTCAGTACTCAGCTTTGAGGGAACAAGTGTTGCAGTGGGATCGTTCTCAGCAGAAGTGGGCTACTTCAATGGTTGCAAGTAACAGTACAGACTATCAAGGACCCACGCCTATGGATGTTGACAGAGTTTAAGATGCCAAAGGAAAGGGCAAGAAAGGTAAGAATGACTACCAGAAGGGCAAAGGTAAAGATGCCAAAGGAAAAGGAAAGAAGGGAAAAGGATAACAACAGAAAGGACAGGTGATCACAAGGGCAAAAGCAAGGGCAAAGACCAAAAAGGACAGGGTGTGGCAACTTGTTACACTTGTGGGAAGCCCTGACATCTTGCTCGAGACTGTAGGAGAAACAATATTCGACAGATTGCAAGTGATACAGCCCATGCATCTTCAGGAGGAGCTTCAGTGACTACGCATACAGTTAGTCAACAACAAGCCAATGTGACTCAGTAGAGCAGTTCAGCAGAGACCAAATCAGTTGTCAGAAGGATTGAGAACAATGAACCCATCATCTTTCACCTACGAGAAAGACATCATGAGTCAGAATCTCATGGAATTCGAGTGATTCACTTCTACATTGGAGATGACGATGATGAGCCGTGGAAAGAAGGCTGTGAAGAAGTTGAAAATGAAAGACCAAAGGTAAGAAGACTTGGAGAAGAGAGAGATGGTGTGGCCATCGTTATCGATAGTTGAGCCGATGTAGCTTTATTCCCTTTCAGTATGGCAGATCATGGGGAAGGAGAATTAGGGTTCAACGCAGCGACAAAGCTACAGGATGCACAAGGAAGTCGTACACCCGCCGGGGGTGCGAAGGGCGTCGAGATCTCCTTGCGTGACATCGACGGACACTCAAACAGAATGTTATCTTCGGTTCAATGGTGAGCCAGCCCATACTTTGTTATGGCCGGCGGGGAATCAGTGGTCGAGGGCAAACGTTGGAGAATGGTGACTTGGAGGTATCACTCCACTTGAATCGCTCTTTTACAGTTCAAGGAAGGATTAGAGTCATTAGAGACGAAGACCAAAGCTGCTTGGAGGTGCAAGTGCCTGGAGCTTTGGTAAAGGCAGCAGGTTGGAAATTCAATTGACATGGCTTGCACGTTGGAAGCTTATTGACTTCAAAATTTGTTGATCCCACTTTCATTCCTGAAGTGGAAGACTCACCAGAGCTGATGAGAACCAGTTTGGTGAAAAGAGGAGGCCGATGGCTTTTGCCTGAATTTTGTGAAAGTGTGATGAAGAAGGAGGAACTTGATGAGCAATTCTTTGATTGCCGTCATTCCTTCAATCACAATCTCCAGCTACGAGTCGGCGCCGCCAGAAGACATGGGATTCTTCGCACTAAAGTCGAGATGAGAGAGGGAAAGATGGAGTGAGAAGGCAATCGACGAGATTACCCCTTCTCCATCGAAGAAGGCGGTAGAAGACCAGAAAGAAGATGATAAGAAAGGAGAAGATTTTGAA